TCATCACTTATTTTTTTACTTTTTGAAACAATAAGGATATTTTGAGGTGCGCCTCACAGCCTCTCCTCAGCGGGACCGGGGCCCACATGCTGGGGGGCCGTGAGGCGCACCTCACAGCCTCTCTACAGCGGCGCCTGACGGCCCTCAGTGAGGCCTGAGCCCCCAAGCTGAGGGGCCGTGAGGCAAGCCTCACAGCCTGTACCAGACCGCAGGGCCACACGCACAGTGGCGGGCGGGAGCTGTGAGGGGGTGACCTCACAGGCCCGAACACGCCAGCGAGGGCCTGTACCGGACCGGACCGGGGCCAAAAGCACGCTGGAGGGATGGAACCTGTGAGGGGCAACCTCACAGGCTCAAACCTTTCAGCCGTTGACGTAACATCCAAGAAGTACGTAAGAAGTACCCCCACCCTGCACCCCCCACATATGCATATGTCATATGCACAGTTAGGAAACTTGTTGCCCTGTACAATGAAATTCTTACGTTGTCGTCCACATGAATTCCACAACAATACAAGTGAAATATAAAGTAGATATAACACAATAACACAAATCTAAATAGGCAGTAACACAAATCCAGGACATACAGAAAATCGAAATACCATTTCTCTCACCTAGCACTGAATGCCATCCCATTTAGGAAGCTAAAATAATAAAAATAGAATAAAAAGAATAAGAAAACTAAATCAAAGTGATTAGGATAAAACTAAACAGTATAACCTAATAGGCTATGACTCAAACCATGTACAATCAGTGACAGTAGTGCAAATAAGATTGTCAGATGGTTGTGAGATTGAGATGCACATGGACAGTAGTGCAAATGACTAACAGCAGCAGATATGATGGTAAAAACAGTCAGCAGCAGATTTACATGTAATACAACAAGAAGGGGGAATGTACTGAGTTTGTGCAAAACAGCAGAGGTAGTCTTTTTATGTTCTGCGGTGGGTTACGGTCCATGGGCAGAGAGGGGGAGGTAATGGACAGCGTTCAGCATCCTCACAGCCTGGAGGATGAAGCTGTTTGTAAGTCTGGTGGAGTGGGCCGCAGGTCCACACAGTTAGGAAACGTGTTTCCCTGTACAATGAAATTCTTTGCCGTCCACATGAATGCCATAAAATACAAATGAAATATAAAGTAGATAAATAAGTAACACAAAATCTAAGGCACTTTAAGCAGCAGGGCTGTTTAGTCAATGACTGCAACGTTCCATTTCAATTTTTATCTGAATTTATGCTGCCAAAGTGCATCCTATGCTTCTTTCTCACACCACAAATACTGCTCCAAAATCATCCACAAGGTGCTGGCTAGCTCCCCTAGTAAACCACAGACCTCCAGGGTCCCTGTGCTTCAATCTCACCCACCCCAGGAATAGTGCTCCATAGACGGACAAAATATACAAAATACACTGGCTAGTAACCCAGAAATAGGCCTCCATATACAGCCACAAGGTGCTGCATAGCTCCCCTGGTGAACCACAGACCTCCAGGGATCCCTGCACATCAGTTGAACCTGTGTACCCATGCTCAAGCACTCCCCCCCAGGCTACACAATTCAAAACCGCCCAGCCACAACTTTGCGCCCCTGGTACTCCAAATGGAGTTTCATGCTCCTGGTACTACACTGTGTGGGAACAGAAATTTTTCTAAGTGCCAACAGCACTTAGAGATTATTATTAGTTCAGACAGCAGAGTACCAGGACCACGGGTCAGAAAATTTTCAAAGTTCAAACAAAGTGTACCAGGGGCATGGGAGTCAGAATATTTTCTAAGTCCCAGGCAGGGACCCTCTGCCCCTCTCTCTGTTCGGGCAGAGAGCTACAAACACAGCCACGCTGTACTGCACCTCACCCACATGGATCCACACACACACCTCCGGGGGGGATGAAGCAGGTGAAGGAAGCAATAAAAAAAAATACAACAGGAACACAATATAATGCAATTATGCATGTGCAAAATGAGCATGTAAATGGTACAGATGGAATTATATGAGGTAGATCCTGAGTCAGCTGTTTAGGAGTCTGATGGCAGTGTTAGGACCGCTCACACATGGGAGGGTGAGCGAGCGAAAAATAAGAGAACGGACCTAGATGGCTGACTTCAGTGCAAGCAAAATTTAATGGTGCTATACAGACTATTTACAATGCAGTGAGAAGAAAAGCTAAACAGGAAGATGGGGATGACAAACCGGGTGTCGATCAGTTACAGAAACAGTCCAATGAAGTAATGATGAGATCGGCCTAGCTGCAGACGCTGGGGGCACTCCTTAGCTGGCCGGTAGAGGTGAGACACGGCTGATGAGACAGAGCAGAAAACAGGCGGTGAGCAGATGGTATCTGGTGACTGTGTACGACCTGGCTGGTGGAAGCTGGAAGGGTGGTGAGGAGTAATGGTCCGGAGGAAACTGTCCGTGGAGGAGATCAAGGAGAGGAAACAGAGTGGGCAGACAAAAAGAGATAAAGCAAAAACTGGATATACGAATATCTAAAGCTGAAGAGAAGAAGG